GGTCAACTCAGGACAGTTAGATCAGTTCAGGATAGCACCCATGTTCTGGGAAGTTTAGGGTTCTTGTTGTCTTGCCTTTCTCTCCTTCCTGTGCTACATAAACTTTTCCTCCCTCCCTCCTCTCATAAATAAGTTTTAAGGGCATCACATTAGAAGAACCGTTAATTAAAAGCAAACTATTTTTAGAAAGTCTGAGTTCGTAAACAAGTTGGGACAGCCACTTTCCAATGCAAAAATATGTTTCTGGCAGATTTCAAGGACCAGGAGAGGGCTCTTCACTGCTACTGGCATCAGCAAGCAACAGGTCAGTAACAGGCACTTCAGAAATAACCCACTTTGTGCCCTGTGTGATAGAAAATAATTAGCCCCAGGTCTTCGAAACAGAAGTCTTAATATTGGCTTGGAAGCATCCTTTAAGCTGCCTTGGGAAGACCATTCTGGACCCAAAGATGGGACAGAAATCAAAATACAATTAAAGGTTTGTGGGCCACTCTTCTCTCTTAGAAGTGAAATTCTAAGAGAGGGAGGGAGCCGGGAGCTGCCAACATAACTCTGCATCCAGAGAGAGCACCAAACCACACACACATTACCAAAACTGGACACCTGGGGTGTGGGTGTGTACTAGATGAACTTTGGATTCTCTTCCAATTCTACGATTCCGTGTAACACTACACTGGCTTTTGACCCTTGAGATGTATATTTTTAGGACGCACCTTATTTCTGTGACTGCAAATTGTTTTTAAACTGCAATTGTGTTTTAATTGTTGCAGCCCATCCAGGGGCCTTATTAATTGCCCACCCTTCACCTTAAGGTCCCAGGGTGGGTTGCCAGCAGGGTTATTTATATCTTATAAATGGCACTTCATCCAGAAAACGGTTTTTAGGGTAGTATACAAAGAAAATTAAAAATTACATCCCCCCTCCAAAAAAACACACACTCCATAAACAAAACATTAAGACAATTGAACAGTATAGTAAAATTAAGAGGAATAAAAACATTCAACCAGTTAAAAATGTCACAATCTGAAATGTCTGGGCAGAGAAAATGGTTTTTACTTGCTGCCAAGAAGTACACAGTGTAAGTGCCAGATGCAATTCCCATGGAAGGACATTATTCAACCACAGAGAAGGGTCTCCTCCAACATTCCCAATGCAAGGACAGAGGTGCTCCTTCAGATACTCCAACTGGGCTTGGCAGCAAATAGGGAGCCAATGCAACTCCTTTAGAACCGGTGTAACTTAGCTCCATCTTAGTAAACCAGCCAAAATGCTGTACTAGACAATGTTTCAGTAAATGGCAGCCCTGTGCACAACACATTACACACTACAGCTCACATCATCCCTAGCTAGCAGGACCAGTGGTCAGGGATGATGGGAACTGTAGTCCAAAAGCAGAGTGGGAAACTCTTTTGCTTTTTACAGTAATCCAATCCAGAGGTTACTAGAACATGGATCATAGCTTATGACACAGTGGCAGATAGGTCATGGTGCCCCAGACACTGCTCTTGTTACACCTGCACTGGGACAGTTTGAAGGGTGGGATGGGGGAGAAGAGTGAAAATAATATTATTTTATTAAGATGCAGGTACGCACAGGACTGTACCTGGGATTTTTCCAGGCCCAAGCTAAGACTGGGGACACTAATTTCTAGTAAGACATTTACCTGACTTGGCTACTTAAAGCAGTTAAGCAGACATGTGCGAAGAGTTCTGCATTAGTGACTCAGTTGCAGGAACGAAGAAATGAAACCTGCAATTAGCTTAACATCATAGGTATGACACACATCCCAATCAGGTCTCAGGGCCTAAAGAGTAAGTGGGTGTATGTGTGTGTTATAGAATGGATACAGTACAGCCTTTCCTCTAACCATGTGTGCATTATCTATTTCAGAAGCTCTCCCGCCCACACCCATCAAAAACTTTGCCCCTTTGTGTCAGGGCATTTAGTGGTTGCATACAAACAATAGTTTCCTGGAGACTTGAAAAGTTTTTCAAGAGGAACAAGAGAGAGACCTTTCCTCCACCCTGCCCCCCCAGCCAATTTTATTATTTGGCTAGACGTGGAGATCATTGTTTCAGCACCAGGCATAATGATGATCCCTTTGCTCATCCTCTTCTCAGGGAAGGCAGGTGGTCTTAAACAACCTTACACTTGCTTTCTTGTTTGCTAGGGACTTCCTTTATTTGCCTTTGCCTCCAGTTCAGAGATTCTTTTAAAGATAAAAATTGAGTCTTTCTGTTCTGAAATCTCTTGACGCTTCTCCCAGCCTTTCTCTCCCCCCCCCACCACTTCTCTTTAAACACTAGCATTGATAAAAACGATGTAAGCTCAGCAGGGCCCCTGGTTCTCCCACCCATTTACTTGATATATAACCATGTGAAATACTGTCAGACTCTGGTTTCGAAGCTTATCTCAGAGGCTGCCAGTCAAGGGAAGGCTTTGTTTGAAGTCTGTAAGCGATCTGACGGGGTAGACAGTTTTGTTAGGCGAAGCACTTTCAAGTTCTTCCTCCCCCCCCCCCCCCAATCCTTATAAGTGGCTGGCCCAATGTGTCTCATACAAAGCCAGCCCTGATTTCTTTGATGGGGAAAAAAATGGCAACAAGAGCACAACTCCTGGTTGGCATCTATATCAAGGGCTGCTTCACCCTCTCAAAAAAAGCAAGAGCCCCCAATCTCCATGGAACGACTATTATATTGTCTCCCATTCCAAATGCAAGAGGTCCTGCTCAAGAACATCTTCCAAAAATAACTGAACAATTATTAACAGGCAGGTCAGGGAGGTGACATTTTATGGCACTGAGGCATCAAAACCATATTGTGCCATATTATGTTCAAGCCAGCCTTTTCCATTCAGCTTATGAAACACAACAGTAATACACTCACAACAGAGCCCAACCTTTTTCGGTGGAGGGGGGTAGGATAACGAATTCCCATTTATTATATCCCATCTCTCCCTGTCTCTTCCTCACACGTTCACAAATCTTCAAATTGGGTTGTCACATGGAAGTCAGAGCAAGCTTGCTTTCTCCTGCTCTGGAGGGCAGGACTCGAACCAATGGCTTCAAGTTACAGGAAAGGAGATTCTGATTAAACATCAGGAAGAACTCCAAGACAGAGCAGTTTTTAGAAGAGGAAAAATACACATAGTATGTTTGCCAACTTGCAAATGTGAAACAACACCGGTCATTCCAGCTGATTCACAGGATCAGCCCACAGCATTTAGGCACGTGAGGCAGGTCCCCAAATGGTGACCACCTCTCTGCCAGGGAAAAAAGGGTGAGGGAAGTTCTACATTAGCAACAAGGGGGAAGACAGATCAACATTGGGATCTGCTGCCTCTATGGATTTTGCCGTGTGAGGCAGTCACCTCACCTTGCCTCATGGGTGGGCTGGTCCTGCATGGTAGGCATTCAAAGGATAACTAGAACATCACAAACTTTTCTCTTTTTATCTCAGGAGATTCAAAAATGTGGGGGGGGGGGTAAGTAGAATGTAGCTTTACCAGTCAGCAGAAGCCCCACAGCCCCCCTTGTCCTTAGCATTGCTACTCTGGGGGACATTTGATCATGAGCATTTGCCAACGAGTCAGGTGCAAATGGGGCAAAATCTCCTCCTGATGCTTCTTGTCAGACATGATGAATCGGGGTGCTTTGGGAATTACTGTACTTGCTCCCTGATACCTAGAGTTTTAGTCGTTGCTGAGGTTCTTCTTAGTTATAAAGAACACAAATACAACACAGATACCATAATGACATTTCCCTCATTGCTCCACCTCCCCTTTCCCCCAGCAATAGTGATTTTACAGAAAGAAGCGATTATATGAACACCTTATTTTAGCTTCCGTGAGGCACGGGTGAAGATAGCATGGAGTTAGCAGTGCAGTCTGAGAGTCATCAGGTGAGCAGTGGCGCACAAGCGGGAATCCCAATATTTGTTTATGACCTCCAGATTTGCTAATTTGCCTGCGAAAGTTTGCTTTATGAGTCCAAGGTTGTCTGCATATGTAACTAAAGACAACCATGTTGCAAACCCCCCCCCCCCCAAAAGCGGCATCTGGTTTTCTTTCCTACGGGTCACTTTGACACTATGTGTAATCTCTTCTGATATTGCTGTTTTCCAAATGTTTTTTGTACCACAGTTCAAAAGTAAGGCCCTGTAGCCATGCTTGGGCTATTGCCAGCCATGCAGCAGCCAAGAAGATGGTCAGCAGTTTTTTGTTTTTAAGCGGCCTGTTCTCTCCCTCGACGACGATGGAGAGGGGAAGCAACTGTGGGGTAAAGAGGACTGCTCCCCCGAGTGTCTTCAACATTTTCCTAACTCATTGTATCCCAGGCTGCCTTTAACCTTTGGGCATTCCCACCAGAGATGGAAATATGTTCTTTTGTGTGTGTGGCCCTTCCAGCAAGAGGGTCCTACGTCCGAGCTCATGTGGAAATGCTGAACTGGGGCCTTTATGCCATGTGTATATCTGCTTTCCCCAATGCACACATAAATTGATTTGGCTGGTTTACACAGCCACATATTTTTTCCATTCTTGATCTTCTGTGAAACTTCTGGTCTGTTTCCAGGGTTTGTTTCAGAGCTTCTCTCTCTAGCTAATGGCAGAAGAGAGTTTCTCTGAGCACAGGGAAAGTTTCTTAAAAGGGGCAGAGAGAGGGGAAGGAACTGGCTTTTTATTGCTTTCACACACACAAACCCTCCATTGCAGGTTGAGCTGACAGAGCAGTATACAACAAGCCTGCAAGGCAGTCACTGCACTGAACCTCACTCAGCCATAAAGTCCATGGGGCCAGTCACAGTCTCTCAACCTAAAACACCTCGCAAGGTTGTTGTGAGGACAAAAGAGTGGGGAAAGCACTTACACCCTGGAGGAAATGTAATGTGTTTAAATAAACGAACAAGTAAATATACTATTATTGCAGATTGGAGAGTTATGCTGAGAGAAGGAGAGCAGCCCGTAGCAGCCCTGCTATGTAGTTCACTGTTATTGATACCAGCTTGAAATGCCAGGGATTGAACCTGGGGCCTTCTGCATGCCAAGCACGTGCTCTTCTGCTGAGCAACAGCTCTTCAAAGAACCTCTACGAAGAGCAAGATGTTTCCTTGCCCTGCTACTGAGACTTTTCCCCATAACCACCCAACCTCAGACAGCACCACACTCTCATTCCTGCAGAGGGCAGCTTGCCCATAAATCCAGCAAAACCTAAAAGCCTTTTTCATCTTACGCAGGGTTCCCTCCTGCCTTTCCGTCTGGTAAGTCCTTCTGGTTCTCCCTACAAGGTTGCGGTAGCGCCAATGACAAACTGCCCCACCTTGGGCCTGCCTATAAAGGAGGGGTTGACTCATGCAATCAGTTTGTTGTGTTGTGGCAGGTGCTCGCTAACCAAGAGGCTGATGAGGTTCAGAGGAGTCAGGTAATTGCACATGCGGCTGAAACTGCCTTTAAAGGAAAGTGACAGCTGGATGTGTGAAGTGAGGTGGTGGTGGGAAATCTGATAAAATTATTGGTGAGAAGCTGAACACAGGCCTCATAGTTAGGAAAAGTAGAGAAAATGCACTATTCTACTGCTCTCTCTGGCCCTATTCTATCACTGTGACACAGTGAAGGGAAAAGAGCAATAGATAAAGACGTTTTTGGAATGGACAGGCCTTTTGAAGAATTATAGAATTGTAGAGTTGGAATCTTTTGCCCAACATGGGGCTCAAACCCACAACCCTGAGATTAAGAGTCTCCTACTCTACTGACTGAGCCATCTCTTGGCCCCCAAGAAAAACAAACTAATATTTACAGTGAGAGTGTCTACATGTAAGGCAAGTGATGCAACTTGCAATTGTGTCTTGGGTCTTTGGAAATCTAATAACTGCGGAGGGGAGAGACTGTCCTTAAGAATGCAGCACACACAGTGAGGGAAGGTTTAAGCCAATGGTGTGGGACTTTTGGCCCAGCAGTCAGATGCCTCCAAGCCTCTATAGCTGGCCCTCAGGACCCTCCCTAGGCTACAACCCCTTCCCTGCTCTGTACCCTTCTCAAATTCTTTTGCCTGGCTAGAAAGCGAGAATTCAACAGGCTTGTTTGGATGTGGGATGCAGAGATTCAGCCTACTGTACAAATGTTAAGAGGGGGTTGGACTAGAAGATCCCTTGTGGTCCCTTCCAACTCTACAATTCTGTAATTCTATGAGCTACACCCAATGCTCCCTCCACATTTGTCTCTGGCCCCACCCACTACTGGCATATGGCTGCTGGGATGAATAAGGCTTCCCCCTCTTAGTGCAAGTCTTACATCCCCAGTCAAGAGAATGGTGAACACACAGATACACACACACACCTCATGCATCTAGCATGGCCATTTGCAGCAGGAAATAAATTCCTATTTCACAGGCTATCCAACAGTGCAGTTAAAGCAAGGTCACCACAGTCGGCCCTACTGTTAGTCAGAGGGAGAAGGCCATCTCAGGTGGCAGGTGCTGAAGGACATAAGAGCGGATGGAGTCGTGTGCAGGCACACTTTCTGTCCTGCATTCCCTAAGCCTGGGGATGCCAATGTAGCACCTTCCAGATGCCGCTGCACTATTGCTTCTGTCATCCTTGGTCACTGGTCATTGAGTAAAACAGGCGCTGACTACAGCCCTTGGTTGTTGCCTTTTAAAAGATGGTGCCTGCCAATGCATCTAACACTTTGTTGAAGCCAGTTATTTTTGCTAGTGATACCCTTGTCCTGAAGCAATGGGCCCCAGAGGTTGATCACCCTTTGTTTTAAAGGGGTGAAAATCCTGGCGGTTCCTACTTCAGTTTGTAGGTAAAGCACACCCAGGAAACAGCCATGTAAGATCACCATTACTAATGTCAACAATGGCTTTCTTCATTCTTTTCTGCCACACCAACACTCTAAAACCCTATTAAGACAGCAATGATATACTTTGCATTTACGCCATGCTGTTCAAGAGCTCAAGGCATTCCCCATTCATTCTCAAAGAAATTCTGTAATGCACCTGATAATCTTTGCCCTCATCTTTTTTGGGGTGGAGCAGTGGGTCTGAAGCTTGCCTAAGGCTATTCTGAGTTCACAGCAGAAGCAAGATTTGAAGTTTAGACAATCTGGTTTGCAGACCTCTCTCACTGTGCCACACGCTAGCATGGTCCACGACACCAAGGGAAGCACCAAGGGAAGCATTCTTCCACAGCCTCAAAAAAACCGCCTAAAGCACACACACCTTTAAGGATTTTTCTGACCAAAGAAGATATAGAAATGTACTGTTTACTTTAAAAAGGTGAAACGCTATTCAGGTCAAGTCCCTATTACCTAAAAGGCAAGTGCCGGGGGGGGGGGCGTGGTTTGCAAAGGAGAGAAGAGGTGACACATAAGAAAAAGAAACCATTCTATTCCTCCAATTGAGATTGTATTTACAAACTGTAGCCACCTCAATTTTTTTTCCTTGTGTCATTTCATTATTACAGAATTGAGATCACCAGCCATCTGCAGTTTCATTTCATCAAGCTCCGATTTGTCCTTGGAGCAATGTCATCTGGGACAAGAACATTGGGGAGAAAGGGAAAAAAAGGCTGCTTTCTACTGCTGACAGCTCTTTCTGCCTTACTGTTAAATGTGCTCCCCTCTCCACCTGCCAAACACACACACACACTTTTCGGAATTTTCAACACTTTGAATTGTTTGCATTTTCATTTCAAAACACAACAATGCACAAACCCACCGACAAGAAGCTCATTATTTAACCAGTGCATGATAACACACTCTATAAAGCAATTAACAATGTTTATTTGTAGATAACCAAAGCATTTGAAAGCTGTAGCTTACAAATCCTTGGAAATTGCTTATAAACTTCAAACATGTTATCCTATGGGTCTAAAAGAAACATCCTCCTCCTTGCTTTCCCTCTGCATGTGCTTCAAGCACCATGCTGTTCCGTCAAGAGGGAACCGGGGGAGGGAGGGGGGGGAGGAAAGCAGGAGAACATTTGCAGCATTGCAAATGATGCTCCAAAACTGTCATCTGCAAATAAATAAATAAATAAATAATCTCACAGAGGAAAGAGACTAATGTGAATAAAATGTTGGAAGAGTGTAGGACTGTTTTGCTGGAACATATCAGGTGATGTCCCTGAAGAGCCAGTGGAACACAACCATAAAGGACTATTCCATGGAGGTAGGGTGCAAAAGGTTTAAGACAGTTATCCAAGCCTTGGCCTTGAAAAACTTTTTTTCCTCTGAGGTAGTTCAAAAGCCCCGAAAGTCCAGCTTGACCAGAGAACATAGCAGGGCAAAAATACGTGAGAGCTTAAGACAGACAGCAGCAGCAGCAGCATGTACCAAATGCATCGCTCTCAAAAATCATTGCTTACCTCTGGCCTTAGTAGATGCCTATGGAAAGAATGCGAAGCAATGTACAAACAGAAAGTGTTCAGGTATTACCATCATCATCATCATCATCATCATTATTATGTGCTCAAAGGCTAAGCTCCACAGTCTGGGTTACAGCACTGCACCACCTCATGAAACAAGAGATTTGAGGGGCATTGGAAGGGAAGAGACCCAGAAAGAGCTTAAGCAACTTGCCGCGTATTGTTTTAAGAAGTCTGTGGCATCATTTGGAACAGAACTGACATCTCCTGGACCAGAGCCTCGCACTGTAGCCGCAAGACCATTCTTTCTCAACACCAGCTTGCGAAATGAATCATGACATGAGCGGGTGAACAATCCTGCCTTCCAGATACATCTCCATGAAACAAATTGGCAGCAGCTCAGCTATTTGGCCTGAGATGCCAATGTCCATCCTCTCTGCCCCTGCCCCACCCCCCAAACCCACACTCCCCAAGAAACATATACAGTATTCCATTTTTCCATGGGGCGGCCAAAATGTTGAACGAACCGTGAGAATTAAGTAGATAAACGTGAAGGAAGACTAACATGTTTAATTATAAATAGAGACATGCAGATTTACTTCAGAACATGGGAGAGCTTTCCGCACCCCAAAGTTTATATGGCATTTCTTAACAATGAGGGTGTTCCCTTACTAGGCTTGTGCATTAGTGCACAGCCAGAATGGGAAATGAAACTGAGTGCCTATTACATACTGTTTTACCTGATCGGCTGGTGTAATCTTGCTTTCTGGTGCTTCTGTTTATTCTGCTATAGGGTGGTTTATTGTTTTTATCATTTTACTGTATGGTTATCTTATATCAATATCTATGTATTGTACTCTTCCTTGGTATCCATATAGATGCAAGGTGAGTTGTTTAAATATTTTAATAAATAAATAAATAAAACAGTACTATTTTCAGATTACAGGTTGCCTTGGTCATGCTCTCAAGCTGCAGTAATAATAATAATAATAATAATAATAATAATAATAATAATAATAATTTATTTATACCCTGCCCATCTGGCTGGGTTTCCCTATGCAAGTTTTAAAAACAATACAGCATCAAACATTAAAAACTTCCCTAACCAGGGCCACCTTCAGTTGTCTTTTAAAAGTAAAATAGTTGCTTATTGCCTTGACATCTACTGGGAGGGCGTTCCACAGGGCGGGTGCCACTACCGAGAAGGCCCCTGCCTGGTTCCCTGTAACTTGGCTTCTTGCAGTGAGGGAACCACCAGAAGGCCCTCGGCACTGGACCTCAGTGTTCAGGCTGGACGATGGGGGTGGGGATGTTCCCACCTTTCAAGAGATCCCAGCTCCATTTAATTGAACATGAGACACTATGCAAGTTTCCTGAAACTTCTTATAGTATACTTTCCCCCTGATTTTAAACTGGGAGGTACACCTTCACGTTCCACTCGAAAACATGTACTTTTGCAGCATGCAACAGTAAAAGTCAATTTCCCCCTCCCCAGCATTCCTGCCCAAGTCACAGAGGTGGACATGCCTCCTCAGTGGGTATGCGCTTTGGGCTCTCAGCAGTCTTTAATTAAATTAATTTATTTCTCTCCACATGCCAGCGGTTCTCACAGAGCACTAGTGTGCCCTGGCACAGAGTTCGGGAATTAGCACACTAACTGTTAAAAGTTAATCTTCCTTCCTCCAGATTCAGGAAAAAAAGGTGGATGTCCTGATTTTGCCTCTTATGATAAATTTCACTTTCAAATTAGGTAGCCTAAGAGTTGAGCTTGTTCAATGAAAGCAAAGCCCCGGCTGTCCCTGCCCCCCAAGTCAACCCTGTATGACTTTTCATATATGTGCTATGTTAATTGCCATGCAACTGTTGATAACTCTCACCACATGCAAGTTTGGGCTCCTCAATTGTTTAAGTGAAGTCTCTTAACTAACTCTTCTCTTCCCCCATCACTCCGACAGGAGACTATGTTTTTAAACAGCTGCATGACAGCCATAAATCCAGGTTTTCCTCATCACTGTATTTTCATGCCAGGAAACCCAGGAGTGGGAGGAGAGGGAGAGAAGGGGAAGGGGGGGAACACCAGTTCCCAAAGGGAGAACCTAGTGAAGCACTGAGCTACAGAAAGTTCAAGAAAGATTCAACTTTGCAAACAAGTAGTTTTTTCTAGTATCCTTTGGAGGGCCAAATTGCATGGCTTCAGGGCAATGACAGGAAAGAAACAGCAGGTGGTGCCTCTGATTTACAGAAAAACTGAGACCAAACAGGGTCTCTCAGTAGCACAAAAAGCTACATATATTGAGGGCAAAGAGCAAAGGGTAAATGCGATGGGGTTCACACCAGGTAAATAATGACATGAAGGCTGACAACATCAACCCCACCATGTAGGAATCCCTTGCAGATGACTGCAGTGTCTGGAGGCAAGCAGTCAGTGGCGTAGCGTGGGGGGTGCAGGGGGGGCCGGCCGCACTGGGCGCAACATCTGGGGGGGGCGCGCTCGCACTCGCAACTCTCTGCCCCTACCTGGCTCACTCACTCTCTCTCACTGCCTTGCCCCGGGTGCTGACAACCCACGCTACGCCACTGCAAGCAGTCAAGTTGCGTATTCATAGCAGTGACCAGAGGGGAAATGAGCACTGGGAGGAGCACAGAGAGAAGAAGCACCATGGTGCATCTTCAGTAGCACAACCAGACACCTTCGTCTGCCCCAGCTGCAACAAAACATGTCTCTCACTTATCGGTCTCTACAGCCAAAGGAGGAGCTGCAACCTACCAACAGTTTGACTTCACTCCCAAAGGATCACTCCTCCATTGTCTCCCAAGACAGACTGATGCTGACGCATTTGCAACTTTTTAGAGAAATAGAGACAACAGTGACTCCCTGTAAGTACAAGGGGTAACTGAGGAAGGACACACAATGTACAGAAGAAAGAGAAACAGATTATGTGAAAAATGGTTGTTATTTCTGACCTCTGCCACTCCAAAAGGCGATTTCACACCCTATGATTGCTACTCCGAAAGTGGCTTTTCTAAACAAGAGTGCTGAGAGTGACTAATGCTTCCACTGAGACAGAGCAAGTCAACAGTTAAAACTTCCCTCCGTCCCTGAACAAAGTGAATTAAGGTTAGAGAATGCCTGCTCAGTGACACCCCTGTAGTTAAAGCACTCTGGAGATCATCCTGAGAGCCCAAAGTTACTGCTGACCCCAGGGCTACCAATCCGCTTTGCAAGGAGCTGATGTCTGCTTTCGCTTTATGAATTATTTAATGGGTTAAAGCCTGGTCAAGGTTTTCTTTATGCAAGGCATGGTGATGCAGTAGCAAAGAGGACAGAAGCTTGCATTAAACAAGGTTAAAGTCATATCCAGCAACTGCACTGTCTGTCCGCAGCTTTATTGACTTAAATCATACTGGGCACTGCAGGCAACAAATCATTAGATTCATTCCATTCTTTTGATGGTTACCAACCACACACACACACACACACACAACCACACACACACACACACACACACAACTGGCGAACATTAAACACATTGGGAGAAGGAGGCTGACAGAGTATAAGGAGAAGACCCACAGGGAGGAAACAAGGGGCACAGAAGATCCCTGTGAAGTTGTGTCACTAAACGACCAACACACAAAATTTGTTTTCATAGAATATTAGATTCATAGAATTGTAGAGTTTGGAGGGACCACGGGGTCATCTAGTCCAACCCCCTGCAATGCAGAAATTTTTTGCCCAATGTGGGGCTCAAACCCACAACCCAGAGATTAAAAGTCTCATGCTCTACCGACTGAGCCAAGGAATAATGGTTGTGGGATCAAGGCCTCTCTCCTATCAATCCTGTCAGGATAGAAGACTACATAGAAACTATTTGTACGTCCCCAGAACAAGGGCTAGATACAAGTGAAACTGGGAAATAGCCTGAATGTGATTAGTAGGCCTTTGTACACACACACACCATACATTTAAAACACTTTCAAATGCACATCCCGGAAACTGTGGTTTGTTAAAGTTGCTGGGAACTGCAGCACTGTGAGAGGTAAGCTGCAGTTCCCATGCTTCTTGAGAGGGAATGTGCTTTAAATATATGGTGCATGTGCAGCCAAGTTTTTTTTTTTTAAAAGCATTAGCCAGCAAGAAGTTCTGCTATCCAAAGGAGACAGATTTGAATCCAGCTCCAAACATCACAAGCTTTTGGTTTACATAAAGCAGGTTTAACTGAAGTGACCCTCTTGGGGGGGGGGTATGTGTGTTTATGTGGTAACACATTTGCATGATTAAAAAACAACAATCCTGTAGTAACTAATATTTCCCCCAAGAGAAATTGCTATGGTGATAAAAATGGCCTCATAATTTCATACTTTTCAAAAGTCTGCTATTTGCTACCCTACAGTAACACCTCCTCCCCAGAAAAAAACAACCATTGCCCACCACAGCCTCTGGCTGCAGTACCCTAAAGTATACTCATTCCTCTCATCTGTTACAATTAAACCCATATTTCTTTATCTGCCCATCCATCTCGTTTGCTCTTACTGCGTTCTGTAATTCCAGCAGATTTTACACTTCGTAACAGAACACTTGCTTTTGGAATGCAACATCACAGAGAGGAGTCCAAGGAGGCTGCTTGGAACTCAGTGCTGAACTCTTAAATAGTTAGGTTTTCTTCCCCTTTTTTTAAATGACAGGGTTCTCTTTCAAATAGAAATCCACCATTATCTTAGGGCAAAGCTTTCACTCCTCCCAGCTATTAAAAGGTATCACAGGTTCAAGAAACGTAGGGGCCTCAAAAAGCATGTCACAGAAAAGTCAGTTTTAACAAGTTTGCAAGACAGAATCTGTACTTGTGGAATATGTAGTTTAGCTGATTTTTTTTAATAAAAAAATTAAGTATGTGTCAAAATTAAAAGCAACCAACCAACAAACCTTGCTACTTGCCTAGGCTTTAGACACACAGCTGTGAATAAAAAATAAAAAAGTAAATTAAAAACAGGTGGAATTCAAACCAGGATAATGAAGACCAGAACACTGTGAGCCACATGTCCAACAATTACTGTCAATGTTGATTGTATCCATGAACCTTTGGAAGGTTGTGAGCAAACATTAGCATTTCCTCCTCTCTGGTAGACCCATGACAGGATGCACAAAGAGAACAAACTTGCTATTCTGCAGCACACAGCCTCCCACATTGTATTTCCACATGGTGTCAATCCAACCTCCACCAATATGGTATGTGCCCTTCTGATGTTTTGAAATACAACTCCTATCAGTCCCAACCAGTAAGGCCGCCTTCTGTGCAGGCCTTCAGAGATGTGCTTCCCAATCACTGTGCCTTATCTGTGCCATAGGGGCACAAGGTCCATTTCACAACACTGTTGGAAAGACATCTGAGAAGAGGAATGCAGAACAGTTGGTACATAGACCAGCCCTGGAACAACTGTGCTTTGAGAACAACCTAATCATGGGCTTCCAGGAAGGGCTTCTGTGGGATGGGCTAGGCAAAATTGGTTCAAGGCACAAACCGAGGGACAAAACAGCAGGACTTTTTGGGCAGCCCTCTGTAACATTTGATGCCCCCTCCCCAGCCCTCCTGCCACCTTCCCAAAGCTGGGGATATAAGGCTAAGGGCTTTGGGAAGAAGGTGTGAAGGTTTTGACAGGGTCCCTGAGACCTCCCACGTCCTTCCCAAAGCTGGAAAAGTGTTAACTAGGCTTTTGGAAGGAGGACTATAGGACCCTTACATCTCCTTCCCAAAGCCCAGCACCCTGAGCACCAGACAAATAGGAAAGGCAAGGCAAGGCAGGCTCCTTGAGAGATATTACAAAAAGGTAGACTCAAAGCAGATTGGGCTCTGTTGCTGAAGGTCAACGGGGCACTTAAATTCTCTAAGCCTAAGGTAAAGGACTGAGAAAGAGAGAGTCATTCCCATGCTGATAACTTCGAGGAGCTTCTTTTTAAAAAAGCTGAACAACTTTGGTGGCTCTGTTTGCACAAAAACTTGATGCAACCCCCACAAGGAACTAAAGTTTTAGAAATTTGAAAGAATAATTCCAGACCCTCCAAGTGTCCCTATTTTCCAGGGACATCCCCGTTTTAGAGAAGCTGTTCCGGTTTCTGATTTGATCTCGGAATGTCCCACTGCTCCTTAGGACGTTCCTATTTTCAATGGAGAAATGTTGGAAGGTATGGAGTTACCCAATCACTGAGCCATCTGAAGGCAATCCTGTATAGGGAAGTTGTTGGTTTTTGTTTTTACAATGCTTAATGTTTTATTATGTTTTTATATATGTTGGAAGCTGCCCAGAGTGGAGGGGGTAACCCAGTCAGATGTGTGGGGTATAAATAGTAAAATTATCGTAATGGAATGGGACGTCCCTATTTTCATCGGAGAAAGGTTGGAGGTTATGTAACTGAAATTCACTCCCTCCTCTCACATTCCCCCTGTATCCACCAGTATTTTTCAAACAGTGGGCCAGAACCCACCACTGGGCTGTGTGCCATTTTTAGGTACCATGTGGCCTTGGTACCATAACATACCCAGCGCCTCCTCATTTGCCAGGCCTTACCCTGAGCGGGTGGCGCTGTGGGTTAAACCACAGAGCCTAGACTTGCTTGCTGATCAGAAGGTCGGCGGTTTGAATCCCTGTGACAGGGTGAGCTCCCGTTGTTCGGTCCCAGCTCCTGCTAACCTAGCAGTTCAAAAGCACCAAGTGCAAGTAGATAAATAGGTACCACTCCGGCGGGAAGGTAAACGGCGTTTCCGTGCACTGCTCTGGTTCGCCAGAAGCGGCTTAGTCATGCTGGCCACATGACCCGGAAGCTGTATGCCGGCTCCCTCGGCCAATAAAGCGAGATGAGCGCTGCAACCCCAGAGTCAGTCACGACTGGACCTAATGGTCAGGGGTCCCTTTACCTTTACCTACCCTGAGCCATTGGTTTGACTCATGCTAGTACCAGCAACTCCTTGCATGCTGAATAAAGGGGTCCAGGAGGCAGAAAAGCGAGAGGAGGAGAGAGAAAGGTCTCCTTCCTCTGAGGGGAAAGGACCCGAGGACGTATTGAAGGAAATTAGGAAATGAGACAAAAGATTAACATTTATAAAGAAATATAAGGAAAGGGAGAAAAGGAATAGGTGCCAGAAATGGTGCTTGGAGGGTTGCAGAACATACTGACAGTACAAGAGGAAAGGAGAAGAAATTACAGCGGATCTGGAGAAATACTTTGTGGGAAATATAAAAGAAAAAGCCTCTGGTTCGGTAAATTCTTACTAAAATGGGGAGGCTGTCAGAATAGCTCCTGGGCAGATGTCTGCACTTAGCCTGAGGACAGCTGAGCTATGGAACTCCTTGCCAGAAGGAAGCTGCTGATGGACTAGATATTAGTAGAAAATGATGACAGCGATTTCCAGCTGATTATACCAAGCTCTTGCTCTATCTGCCACCATTTTGTGACTGGTGGGCCTCAGTAATTTCCAAGGCATCTCAAGTGAGCCCTGAGAAGCCCTGCCCTATATAATCTCAGAACTTCATCAAATAGCCATTGCTTTGCTTTTTTAAAATCCTCCTCCATAGGACAGGATGAATGTCCACTTCATAAAATCTTGAGTCAAACATCTGCTGGAAGACAAACAAAAACCACGGTCTGGTACGGATAGCGGAAAGGAGATACCCACGGATTCTTTCTCCAGCAAATGACACACCAGCTGGAAAGATGCAAGGTTAGCCAGATTTTGCTGGTGGAGAGCTTTCATGTAGATAGTACAGATCTCAGACACACACCAGCACAATTATGGAGTCCTTTCACAAAGATAGCATAAGAGAGAATTTATCTCCGGTAGAAACTGCAGGGAGGTCTTGAACAAGCCAATGGCAGTAACTACAAACAAAAGGAAGAGCCCAAACCCAAAACAAAACTTTTCTTAGCCTGAATATTTTGGCACTCCTGAGTACATGACAAGATAAAAGCTATCTTGTAAGGCCTCCAGTCTGAAAAATTCCATATGTCTGAACATTCCATGTCACCCTTCCAAACAGGATTCTGAGCAGATTTTCACTGAAACTGATGGGTCTCAAACTCTTGGTGAGTTAGGGACTTTCCCTGCATGAGAAGACAGGCTCTGGCAGATTGAGTGGACGAGACCGATAGTGGGTCCAACAGTCAAGAAGGCAGTTTCTGGATGTGCTACAGAGGGAAGTGAGGGGCAGGTGGGGCTCATCAACTCAGGAAGGTAGCCCATCTAGGAGAAAGAAAACTCTGATCCTAAACCTCGGCTGCCTTGCAAGACATCTTTGGGAGATGAAAAGGCTAAGGAGTAAACCCTACACAAAACATCTGGCTGAGTTTACGTTTGTGCGCTCTTGTTCAGCTTTCCTTCGGACTGCATCAGAGGAGGCTCTTGTCATCTGGACAGCCCAGGACCTCCATGCACACTGCTCAGCCTTGCGCCCCAGTGAGGTCACTTCAGTACTACTAATGCAGCAGTTTAACTTCACCCCTGGAAGCACACTCCAATGTCTCTTGAGACTGACGGATGCCAGCAACCAAAGGCTTGCAATGAATATGGGATTTCTTGTCTTATTACCCTTTCCTTTGTTAGGAGCTTCTACCTGCCCTAGCTCTCGCTGTGAACTCAGTGAGTGGCATCATGCAGAATCAGGCCACTGGGTCCCTCTAGCTCAGTAGTGTCTACAGTGTCTGGCAGCTTCTCTCCTGGTTTCAGACAGGGATCTGGCCTGGTTCTACTTGCAGATGGAACCTTTTGCAGGCCAAGCATGTGTTATGGGTGACACTAGGTGCAACACAGTCC